CCAATCATAATGCTTTCCTATATGATTGGCTGAGACTGTCAAGGAGGTAGATCAGGGGCAGAGCCAGCGCAAGTCAAACACAGCCCTGGCCAATCAGCATCTCCTCATAGAGATGCATTGAATCAATTCATCTCTATGAGAAAAGTTCAGTGTCTGCATGTAGAGGGTGGAGACACTGAATGTCAGTATTGCACAGTGTGCAGCACTGCCCCAGGAAGCTCCTCTAGTAGCCATCTGAGGAGTGGCCAGCAGCGCTGTATGTGCTGCAAGGCAAACAAGGCATTTGCCTTGGGCAGCACTTTCCAGGGGGCGGCAAAAACGTTGTCCCCCAATTCCCAGGCAAATCCCTTGTTAGCTCGGGGCAGGCAGCTAGTTGAGCTCCAGGTGGGCAGTCAAGGGAGCACTGATTTGTGAGCTCTTGTGAGCTGTCCCTGCTCAGCTCCCTGATGTCACATTCCGGCTCCCGGCATCACGCTGAGGGAGCTGAGCAGGGACAGCTCATAAATCAGCGTTCCCTCGTCTCCCGCCTGCCCAAACAGCCCTGCCAGCAGCCCCACTGGACCCCAGGTAAAAAAAAACCACCCAGCTCTCCCAAAGTTAGGGAGGTTGGGTGGATTTAAATTAAAATAAAAAAAAATAATCTATGAGTGTTGGGGGAAATGTGTATGTGTGTCTGGCTGGCTGTCAGTGAGTGTGTGTATATATCTGTCAGTGTGTGTCAGTGAATGTGTGAGAGAGTGTGTGTCAGTGTGTATATCTGTCAGTGTGTGTCTGTCAGGGAATGTGTGTGTGTCTGTGCGTGATTGTGTGTGTCTGTCAGTGTGCGTCTGTGAGGGAGCCTGTGTGTCTGAGTGATTGTGTATGCCTCTCAGTGTGTGTCTGTCAGAGAGTGAGTGTGTGTGTGTCTGCGTCATTGTGTGTGTATGTCAGTGAGTGTGTGCGTGTGTGTCAGTGATTGTGTGTGTCTGTCAGATTGTGTCAAATCAGTGTGTGTGTATGTCAGTGTATCTGAGATTGTGTGTCTGTCAATCAAAGTGTGTGTTAGTCAAGAAGAGGTGTGGCCTTGACAGGAAGAGGCAGGGAATGCCCGAGTTCCGTTATGCCTAGGACAGCACAGATTCAAAATACACCACTGGTGGCCAGTGAAGTTATCACTAGGCGGTAATGTAAACACTGCATTTTCTCTGAAAAGAGAGTGTTTACTGCAAAAACACTGAAGGGAATGATTCTACTCACCAGAACAAATACAATAAGCTGTAGTTGTTCTGGTGACTATAGTGTCACTTTAAAATATTTTATTCTCTCATAACTAATTCATAAACATGTTTATTACATATTAACTTGTGTTTTGTGCAATGCAGTTAAATACAATAAACACACTGAGCAAACTAAAATGGCATCATATAAGATAATGGGGAAAAGGAGAGGCATTGTTTAACACAGGGATGGAGAACGTCTGGTCCGCAGGCCATATAAGGCCCGCATAATAATTGAAAAGCAATAGCCATAATGACATATAAATTATTTTCCCCCTGGGACTGTGAGTGAGAATTTGAGGGAATTAAGGAGGGAGGTGCTAGGGGCTGGTGCGGCCGCATTACAGCTTCTGGTGGCCAGAGGGAGCACTGTAGAAAATAAGATTTCTGTGCCTCTCCTGCTTTACCCTGCACTCAAGCTCATCCCTCACACTCAAGCTCTGCCCCCCAGGCTTAAAGGACCATTATAGTGCCAGGAAAACAAACTCGTGTTCCTGGCTCTATAGGGTCTTTGGGTCCCCCCCACCCTCATGGCCCCCCTCCCACCAGGCTGAAGTGGGAGGGAGGGGTTAATCCCTTACCTTTCTCCAGCGCCGGTCTCCCTCAGCGCTGGGGACTCTCCTCCTCCCGACATCATCAGCTGAATGCGCATGCACGGCAAGAGCCCCACGCGCCTTCAGTCAGTCCATAGGAAAGCATTTCTCAATGCTTTCCTATGGACGCTGGCGTCTTCTCACTGTGAAAATCACAGTGAGAAGCGCGGAAGCGCCTCTAGCGGCTGTCAATGAGACAGCCACTAGAGGCTGGATTAACCCTATGTTATTGCTATGTTTACAGCAGGCAGGGTTAACCCTAGATGGACCTGGCACCCAGACCACTTCATTAAGCTGAAGTGGTCTGGGTGCTTTACAGCAGGCAGGGTTAATCCTAGATGGACCTGGCACCCAGACCACTTCATTAAGCTGAAGTGGTCTGGGTGCCTATAGTGGTCCTTTAAGCAGCTGACCTTGCAGACAGGAAGAGGCTGGAAAGTGGAAACTTTACCTGCCAGTGTTCCCACAGCATTCAGTGCCAAGTAGGCTTACTCAGCAACACAAGACTAAGAGTAAGCTTGTGTGTTTATGTGCCTGTAAGTGAGAGACCTTGTCTGTAATGAGTATGTGTGTGTCAGTGAGCTTGTCTGGTAGTGAGCATGTGTGTCAGTGAGCTTATTAGTAAGCATGTGTGTGTCAGTGCCAAGTAGGCTCACTCAGCAACACATGACTAAGAGAAAGCTTGTGTGTTTATGTGCCTGCTAGTGAGAGACCTTGTCTGTAGTGAGCATGTGTGTGTCAGTGAGCTTGTCTGTAATGGGCATGTGTCAGCGAGCTTGTTTGTAGTGAGTATGTGTGTCAGTGAGCTTGTCTATAATGAGCGTAGCAGACTTGGTCCTCTGCTCGTTCGGTTGCCTGTACCCCCCTTGTTCGTTTCCTGAATGTAAGGTTAATTTTCCTTTTATACTGTCCTACTAAACACCGACCACACCCTGGCTCATAAACTTCAAAGAAGTCAATTAACTCAAGTGCTCTATCTACGTGGCCGCCATTTGTAAACCAAACACATGTGATTTATTAAATGGCAGCCATTTTGTCTCCTGAAAGCAGGCAGCGATACCTGGTCGTCGAATGCATGGAACGGTGTTTGGATACTTCACCTCGCGGTCCCCAGGAAAACTATACCATTGTCTGTTTCCCTCACAGACAAGCCAGGTGAGTGCTCTTTGAGGAAAAGTCACTACCGACTGGGGCGAGCATTCACTCCCTAAGAGCCAGGTGGAGCTTTTGTTTATGTTTGCACAGGAGCTCCCGAAAGTTGACCGGCCGATACCTCTTTCTTCCTGGAATTATTTTGGGCAAGACTGGGAGAGATTCTTGCCGCACCTTCTATTTGCTTACCAAGTGGTGCCCCAGGAATCAACAGGGTTCTCTCCATTAGAGCTGCTATTTGGGAGGCGGGTGAGGGGGCCCTTAGACCTAATAAGGTAACACTGGCATGGGGATGTTAGCCAGGACGGGACTCCTATAGTTCCATATGTGCTGGAGATCCGTGGCACAGAGCCGCTTTCACATATGGTGTGATCGGGGAGCCAGGGACCGCAGCTTTCGGGTAGGACAGAAAGTTCTAGTTTTTAAACCTGTCCGCGATGATAGGCTGCAGGCCGCCTGGCAGGTACCATATTGGGTGGTAGAGCATAAATTCGATACCACCTATATGATTGGGCCTTCCTCTGGAGCAGGAGGGTGATGCATGCTCCATGTGAACATGCTGAAACCCTACCATGAGCAGAGAAATTGTCATCGATCTGCTCCCCTGCCTCCGAAGACTTTGAAAATCTTCCCCTACCTGACCTCCTAGAGGACAGGAGTCAGACAGGCACCTTAGATGAGGTCAAGTTGGGAGAGCGATTGAATTCCCAGGAGCGTGTCCAGGTACAACAATTGCTAGAGGAAAAAGGGGCCACCTTCTTTGACGTACCGGGGATACACACCCCTGGCAACTCACTGCGTGGAGACCCCAAATCAGTTACCACTTTGCGAACCCCCTAACCAAATCCCTGAATCAGTAAAGGAGAACATGCATAAGGAGATCCAGGAGATGCTCCAGATGGGGATCATTGAATGTCCTACAGCCCCTGGGCCACCCTAGTAGTTCTAGTACCGAAGCGGGACAGTACGATCTGCTTCTGTGTGGACTACTGGAGGTTATAACGACTAGACTGTATTGGACGCATACCCTATGCCTCGGATCGATGAGTTGCTGGATAGGATTGCTAGGGGCCAGCACCACACTACGATTGATCTCTGTTAGGAGTATTGGCAGATCCCCCTAGCTAAAGAAGTCATCCCTAAGTCGGCCTTCATCACTCCGTTTGGCTTGTACCAGTTTCGAGTCATGCCGTTCGTGAGGACGAACACCCAGGCTACATTACAAAAGGATGGTAGACCACCTCCTAGATGGCTTCTAAGACTATGCCTGCGTGTATCTAGATGATTGTTACAGGAAGTAATGTTACTTCCTGGTTTGATTAGCTCAGTGAAGCTAAACTCGAGCAATTGCTCAGAGCACCTGCCTTGCAAAGACTTCTTACATGCATGCATTTTTATTGGGGCATATCTGTTAAACAGTGATTATTTTTTGTTGCATTTGGGCAGAGTATTGTCCCTTTAATGAAGCAGATTTGGTGTATAGGTCAATCATCCTGCAGACTCACTGCTCAAGTACTTGTTTTTTTTTTTAAGTAACATTTGTCTTTTCCTAATTTTCTAATCTCCACACGCTCATAAAACATTTCCTCTCTTTACATATTCTGACTTTAAAATGTGCATTTATAAACCCTTTCAGTTCCCCAGGAATATTTATCACATATTAGTAATCCCTGGGATTAAACATTATGTGTTGTATAGAAGACGTGTAATCACTGTTTAATGACTATAAGGGAATAAAAGGATTTCCTACTCTGGAGAAGGAGAGGAAGTTTGATTTTTTGTTTTCAGGGTTGGATAGACTGAGCAGATTATTCCCCTGCCAGGACCTGGCTCAGCCTCACACAACCCGCAGGCGCGCTGCCCTACCTCGTGAAACTCCTCTTCCTCGTCACTTCCGGTTAGGGGAAGCGGCTGGATCCTGTTCTGCACATGCGGCACTCCTGTACCTCTGCCACAGCAAGGTCCTGGAAGGTAAGTAAAGCTAGTCCTCAACAGTCACGTGAGCTTCTGACGTCATGTGTCAATCGCAGACCTCGTAAATACTTCCGCCTTGAGCCCTGTTGTCATGGAAATCAGCGCAATTGCTGTCACCGCCCCGGCGGCTCTCAGGGGCCCAATAATTGGAGATATCGGTAAGGGAGGAGAGAATAGTGCCGCGGTTTTATGTCAGCCTGTTGGTATTTCGGGTCATGTCGGATAGCGGGATGTTTTATCTCAGCGCTCAGTGTGTCAGACAGAAGGCTGCAGCCTCACAGCTACCACTAGCAAGGAAATACAGTGTCTGTCTGTGTCAGTCTGCAATGCATACTTCTCTACAGCACCGATCACAAGCTGTATTACTGACAGCTATGGCAATAACAAAGGGACATTATATTATACCCCACCTCCTCTACTCCCTCCTTCTACCATAATAGTCCCCTACTTTTACCATTATATACCCCTGTCTCTCCTCCTCCTCCTATCATAATATTCTCCTGTGTCCCTCCTCATCCTTAACCATAATATTCCCCTCCCTCCAAAATATCCCTGTCTTACCTCCTCCTTCTGCCATAATATTCTTATTCTTTGTCTTCCTGCAACCCTGATGGACATCCAGATTCATACCTCCCAAAGGTCTCTATTTAGGAAGGGAAGTCCCTTTTTCTTTCCTATCCAAATGACCCTCTTTGTAGTAACTCTCATGTGTCTGATGAGCTGTTGTTTGGCCCCGACACCGCCCCACCTCCTTGACAATTTCAGCCAATTCAATGCTTTTTCTATGGGAAAACATTGGATTGGCTGAGATCATCAATTCTTTAGGGGCGCACATCATTGTGGCGGCATTCCCAAATACTAAGGGGAATGCCGCCGGTCTCTTACCTATACGGCCGACGCCCGTCGGGTCAGCTCATGCTCTTGATCGGTCTCAGTCCGGCGGCATTCCCACATGGTTATGGGAATGTCGCCCATCACTCACTCCTGGTGATGGCTCCTCCTCCTCTCACAGCGGCCGGGTCTGTAAACGTTAGATTTAAAGGTTTTTTTAGTTAACCCTTGAAGTGCCATTTTATGATTGATCTGTGGGTGTGCCACACACACAAGCCCACAAACACATGCTTCCCTGCAGCCAATCAGGGAGTGCCTTAGACTATTTAAATCTGTTTTGTCCATTTCTCTGTGCCCTGTCCTGGTTTCCATTGTGGTTATCTGAGAGCGCGTTCCTGGTATTGATTCTAGTGTTTTTGACCTTGGCTTCCCTTCTGACTATCCGATCTCTGACTATTCTGTATTCTCCATTCCTTGACTCGTGACTTGTTCATTGTTTCCGTGATTTCTGCGTCTTGTCTTTATCCGGTCTTGTGGTTTTTTCCTTTATACGTTAAATCCGGCCATTCTAATGCCCGGTAATACGTTTTAGGATTTTCCTTTTATATCTACTTAAGTTCTGTGTGTTGGGCATCAGCTATTCCTGACATGATGTCAGCTAAGGAGGGGGAACAAGAGCATAGCCAGGGCCGGCAGATCCACACGGCACTGGAAATAAGGTGAGCTTTCACCCTTTTAAAACCCTTTAGTGACCAGAATGTTTTTGAATTTTCTTACAAGGGCTGTTTTTTTACATTTCTGCTGTGTTTGTGTTTAGCTGTAATTTCCCTCTTACTCATTTACTGTACCTACACATATTATATACCATTTTTCTCGCCAATAAATTGTCTTTCTAAATATACCATTATTTTCATCATATCATATAATTTACTATAAAAAAATTATAAAATATGATGAAAAAATAAAAAAAAAAACACTTTTTCTAACTTTGACCACCAAAATCTGTTACATATCTACAACCGCCAAAAAACACCCGTGCTAAATAGTTTCTAAATTTTGTCCTGAGTTTAAAAATGTTAACATGTTCTTAGCTTTTTTTTTTTTTTTGCAAGTTATAGGGCAATAAGTACAAGTAGCACTTTGCTATTTCCAAACCATTTCTTTTTCAAAATTAACGAAAGTTACATTGTAACACTGATATCTGTCAGGAATCCCTGAATATCCCTTAACATGTATATATTTTTAAAAGAAGACAACCTAAGGTATTAAACTTGGGGTATTTTGACTCTTTTCAACCATTTTACCACCAATCTATGCCAAATTAATCACCATGATCACATGGCCGCAACAGGGGTCTATGGAGCTGTCAGCAGGGGGAGCAAGTGTAGAGATGCCAAGGCCATATCGTCACAATATTATTTTGTGTCAGGACAAGTAGATTGTCCTGTTGGACCAGTAGCTTCGGCTACCACTTTAGTCCAATGAACAAGTAGATTTATTTTAAAAATGCCATACGCCTGGTATTGACATATGCATATACATTGCCACACACATAAAGATGCACATTGCCACACACAGAAACACACTAGCACTGCCTTACAGAGGCACACATAAGTACACACAGGTACACTCCAAGAGACACATACATACACACTGAAAAACATATTGACAGCTACGTAGATATACAATGACACTCACACACATGCACAGATACAAACACACAGATCCACAAACACTGGTACACACATACACACCACAGAATAGACTAATCTCTAAACTGGAGACAATTTATTGTAACAGTGTTTTCTAAGTTCAGTGTTGAACCTGCCATCTTATCATGCTATAAATACTTAGTGTAATCATTATAAATGAGGCCCTCAATTATGCTTAAAAAAAAAAATTATAATTGGCCTTTTCAATGATACTAAAATATTTATTGCGTATAGTTGAAACTAAAATATCCTGGATATATGTAAATTATTGTAGAGGCCTATCAACATACATTTTCAACACCTGTATGCACTATAACGACTTTATCTTTTGGAAGATGTTATAGTGCCCTAAACATGCTCCGTTTTGTCCAGTTTCCCAAATTGTTGTAGCTTTCTTGTATGAGAGCTAGAGAATGACTTCTAGCCAAGCCCCCCAATCCCTTTATATCAGAGAGCCAAAAAATACACTTCCCGCCTCTCATACCCAAAAATACCCAGAAATCAGCACACATGAACGAGCCTCTTAGAAGTGCGGTAATTTGTGAGTGGTGAGCTGTCCATGAACTCCAACTCATGAACACCATCACCGCGTGCATCCGTTTCAGCTTTTCATACAGAATTATAGAGTTCAATGATTCTCTATGAGAATAATTTCTTTGGCGCATCACATTAAGAACTGCACATATGTATAAGGTCCACACTGCTTTTGAATGAGAAGCATTGGATTGGACCACTGTCCTTTGACCTCATGACATCAAAAGGGGTGAAGCAGTATGCCACAAGGGAGCTACTGATGGCGCTGGAATAAGTAGCTGATTTATTTTACACACTATTTATTAACACATCACTTGTCATATTTCTACAATATTATTGAGACAAAGGGCTTATGTCACAGTACAGTGTTCTTTAAAAAAAAAAAAAAAAAAAAATTTTTTTTTATTATTTCGTCAATTAGGAAATTGGGCTGACAGAACACCTGTTCACGATGCTTCAAGAAATGGACAAGCATTACAACTGAAGGAGTTGATTGACAGTGGGATCTGTGTGAACCTGGTCACAGTAGACTCTATAACACCCTTACACGAAGCCTGCCTCAATGGGCATACTCACTGTGTTCAGTTACTTCTTGCTGCTGGAGCCCAGGTTTGTATTATGTCTATTTTGGATTTGTATTTATATCTTTTACATTACTCTTTACATTGTGGATTTTATACACCTTGACTCGAAGATAAAAAAAAAACAAAAAAAAAACTCCATCAGGGTTATTCACATAGTGATAATTCAAGGTGAATGTAAAGTGGATTTAAAATTTAAGGCAAACCTAGCTGAACTGGACACATTCTCAATGTCCGCTATGCTTTTAGTTCAGCTACTTTGGCCTTCACTCTGAATTCTCACTTTAGTAAATAACTCTTTCTAAGTACGAGTACAAAATAGAAGGTAATTTTGCAAAATTACAAAGTAGATAATGAATTTTGTTTTTATACCGTGTATTAAATGCAATCTTTGTATCTTTTACTGGGTCCTTATTAACCTCTATAATTCATTCTTTAGATTTTAATGTTAGGTTTTCTGTTTACCTATATATTATAAAGCACTGAGGAGAACTATATAACATATATTCAATGTTTAACTTTTTGTTTTGTTTTAAAGTTATATAGAACACATATTTTTACTAATACTGCCATTTTAATGTGCTCTTTATTCTATTTGGCATATACTGTCCTTTTACACATCTCTATCATTACGGTCTGAATCATACATACTAACACAAAAAAATGTGAGGCAGAGAAGAAGCTAGAATAGAACATATCTGTACTTCTGGTGTCCAGTCTTAGCCATAGTAAAAGGAAGGCAATTAATGCCTGAAAAGCAAAAACATAGTCTGACAAGCCAGGGTCAGGAGTACAGAGAGACAACCATGTGAAGAATTAAAACCTTAATCCAAAAGTAAAAATCAGAAACGCATACTCCGTAAATCACACACACTTGGACACATAAAACATAACAGGGCATAGCAGCAATCAAGAAGGGAGTTTATATAGTTATAAGATATTTCCTATTGGAAAGTGATATCTTCCTGTGCTAGTAAATGGAAATTATGCTGGAATGACACCATTGATAATGGCATGCTAGCATGATGTAGGTTAGCAATGTCTACCAAGGTATCTGTGGTAGCGAGTTGCACCAAAATGAATATGGAAAGGTTGCCTGATAATGGTGTCATTGGAGCTGGATCCAGTGTCAAAATCTATATGTAAAGTACGCACAGCACAGCCAGAGTTTGGTTATCGTTTCCTACAATACTAAATTTACTTAGAAGTCGCCTTCAATTCCATATAATTCACAGTTTATTGAATAACCATGTTTATGTAGCATTAATATTCTAGGTTAGGGGTAGGCAACTTCGGCACTCTAGATGTGGTGGACTACATCTCCCTTAATGCTTTGCCAGCATTAAATCTGTGAGAGTTTTATTGGAGACGTAGGTCTAAGTCTTTCTAGTCAGAAATGCAGTAATTCACCAAAATCTTTTTTGGTCCCTCTAACCAATAAAATGGTTCAGTATACATATCAATTTAAATTTTTTATTCAGGTTGATGCTCGGAATATTGATGGAAGTACACCTCTCTGTGATGCATCCGCTGCTGGCAGTCTTCAGTGCATAAAACTCCTTTTAGACAATGGCGCTAAAGTGAATCCTCCACTTTTTACTGCCTCCCCACTCCATGAAGCATGTATGAGCGGTAAGCATTAGGTCATTGTCAACTACTGAGAGTATGGCTAGCAGAGTTCTATAACCTCTTACAAGAATGTTTGCAATTAAAGGAACACTATAGGGTTAGGAAAACAAACATGTATTCCTGACCCTATAATGTTAAAACCATGATCTGGTCCTCCCTTGCCTCTATAAATATAGCAAAATCTTACCTTTATTGCAGTCTGCTGCTGCTGCTGCTAGCTCTGCCCCTGATCTGCCTGTTGGGCTGACATAATCAGAGGTGGTGTTCTGAGCCAGTAATGATGCTTTCACATAGGATTGACTGAGCTTGTCAAGGAGGCAGATCAGTGGCAGAGCACTAGTCAATCAGCATCTCCTCATGGAGATGCATTGAATCAATGCATCTATATGAGGAAAGTTTAGTGTTTTGATGCATAGGGTGGAGACACTGAATGTCAGAGCTGTGCACTGTGCATCATTGTCCCAGGAAGCACCTCTAACAGCCATATGAGGAGTGGCCAGTGGAGGTATCCCTAGGCTGTAATGTAAATACTGCATTTTCTCTAAAAAGACAGTGTTTACTGCAAAAAGCCTGAATGGAATGATTATACTCACCAGAACAAATTCAATAAGCTGTAGTTGTTCTGATGACTATAGTGTCCCTTTAAATTTTTTTTTTTCATTTTCTATATGTTTTTTATTGTAATTTATGTGATGCTGAAGGTTATAATCTCTACTATAACATTGCAGTTATATTTTAATTTCAGTTTCCAGTATATTTTAAACATCATCATTGAAACTATTGGATATTCTTCCAGTTGTATTTTTTGAACGCATATAAGTAATGCTAGTTAGACAGACTTATTGTAATTGTAAACTCTTTTAGGTAAATCTGAGTGTGTGAAGTTTTTAATAGATGTGGGTGCAAATCTTGAAGCTCATGATTGCCATTTTGGTACCCCCTTACATGTGGCCTGTGCAAGAGAACATATTGACTGTGCCAAAGCTTTACTCAGTGCAGGTAAGTAAAATCTAATTTTAATTATGAATTAATAGGTGGTAATATTTAAAAGAACATTATGGCATCCCTCTAAAATTTCTATTTCTCCATCTTGGTTATTTATAAACAGAAAGTGTATACATAATGTGTGCTACTTATAAATTTAATAAAATATAATATACCATGAGCATACAAAACATTAAACATACTTACTGTGAAATAGGATGACATGATGTATTGTGGTAAATATGTTTTTGTGGTCTGTTAAAGATGCTTCAATCAGTATATAATGGGAGAGACTGACCAAAGTAGGATTTGACTGACCAAAGTACGCATTGACATAAATGTAATGTGGATATATAGGGACTTTTGGCCAGGCTAAAGGGGTTTTGTATTAGGACAGGGATCTTGTATAAGGGGGGCTGACAGTTTTTTTTTTTTTTAAAGTTTACAAATTTGTGCAATACATATAAAAAAAAAAAAGTTAAAAAAATTGCCAAACACAGGACCCGCACCGGGTGCCAAATGCTCTAGGTACGCCCCTGTACCCAGGGTGAGATACTGCTGATGTTGTTGTACCTGGCATACCAACGACTTGTAATTTGAATGTGTTGATGTTGTGAATTACGGCTCATCGGGTTCACACTAGGAGTCTTCTGTGTGGCAGTGTGCATTCCCCCACCCTTTTTTCTTTCTGTACTCTCTCCCATATGATATAGTTTTCAATAAATTGCAAATATTTTAAAAAAGCCAAGAAAGTAAAAAGGCAGAGACACGCTGCAAACTAGCTTAAAATCATATTATTTATTGACATTTTATGTAAAAAAAAAAAAAAATGTTTTGCCAGATTGTATAATATATATATATATATATATAACTAAACATCCAGGCAGTACATTACAGATACTGAAATATCATCAAAATAACTCATTGTACCTCAACACAAATGGTTCGTGGTTTGTTTTTATGACACAACTGTGAGTGTGATAGAAATTAACATGGTCAAAATCTTTTGCGGAAAGATTTTGAAATCTTGCATGTAATATGTAAACATAACTGAAACTCTGTCTAAGCGGTATAATGTGCTCCTTATCATCCTTATTTGAGGGAGGATTTGCCATGTCTTAATATTATTTCCTACGCAATAGCATTTCCTCCAATGTGTTTTACCAGTGAGATGGTTTGCCTCTCACTAATGTGCAATTCCTTTTTTCCTCCAGTTTCCACTTCTCCTGTGCAGTGAGTAGGAAGTTGTGATGCAGAGCCTACTTGCTCACAGAGTTATCTATTCAAGGAGCATATTTTGATGTTCTTCTTGGAGTGTCACGTGAATGTGCGATGAGAAAATACAAATTTAATTAAAATACATGTTTTTTTTAAATAATTGATCTGGGTTTAATGTGTTAAAATATTCACTTTTTTAAATTTTATTTATATATATATATATATATATATATATATATATATATATATATATTATTTCTCTTTATTTACATTTCTTTTTATAAAGTGTTACAAATACAATACAAAAAAACAACAGAAAAAAATTATATGAACTTCGTAATAAGAGACTTTCCGAATACAGATAACTTGATAAACATAATTATTTAAGAGGATCTAATAAATACTTAAGTAAATCCTCTATATCTGTTCTTTCTATCTTTTAAGCTCTTCATACTAATCAAATAATTTATTACATCAGCATTGTTATATCTTATCATTTATCATTCTATATCAAAAACAGAAATAAAAGAAACAATCTACATTCATTCTAGCAAAAATAAATAATTCAATCCTCTTATTTTAATTTTATTATATTCATATTTCAATGTACCACTTGTATGAAGCAGAAATAGGCTAAGAATACATTTGCAAGTGTTCTACATTTTGGTTTTAGAAAACTGAAGAAATGTATTTAGAATGTAAATATAACATGTCGTGTTCCCTAGGAGCTAGTGTAAACGCTGCAAAGCTACATGAGACAGCACTCCACCATGCAGCAAAGGTGAAAAATAAAGATCTAATTGAGATGCTTGTTGACTTTGGAGGAAATGTATATGCCAGAGACAACAGGGGAAAAAAGCCTTCAGATTACTCCTGGCCAAATAGTCCGACTGCAAAATGTTTGGAGTACTATGAAAGTAAGCTTTATTTATGTGCCTGGTTATGAACATTTGATTAACTATTATAAAATAAGTTTAGTGCATCTGAATTAATCATGACAATAAAGCATGTGCTATTCTGGAGCAAAAGAGCTAAATTAAGAGCAAACACCATAGAAACCAATAGAATGACTCCATATTTAACATTTTGCACCTTGATAAGTCTCCCCCCCCCCCTCCCAATAGCTTATCAGGCCAATTATTATGATTACGGTGCTTATGTTTATACTATTGAAGTATACAACCTTTGTTTGAGTGACTCAAGACACTTATTAACAAAATAATAAATTTCTAACATATTTTGACATGCATTTATTATGTGGACTTCATATATAAAACATGCAGTATCATTCATCTGATATGTATTTCAACTTTGCTTTACTTGTAATGTGTTAATTCATAGTTTGCATAGACAGTGTAATAAATTTAAGTTATTGAACAGTTGAAAACCTTCAGAGTCTTAGTGATTTGATATGTTAATCAGGTCTATGATCACTTGTATCTCCTCGAAATATATCTAAACGCTCTTATATTACAGAAATGCCAAGGAACTTGTCCCAACTCTGCAGAGTCAGTTTGAGAAAAGCTCTTGGTCAAAGACCAGTGCAGAAAATCTCTAAATTGAATATTCCTCCACGACTCATAGGATATGTTTCATATGATTAAACTGATTAAATTGCAGCAAGATGCAACATTTTGTCTTTTAAAAGGTACGTTAACTATGCAACTGGAAATGGCACTTTGTTATACAATTCCTTACAGTTTCTTAAAATTTATAGTTGCAATGAATTTATTTTTCTAACTTAAAATGTGTAAAATAAAGTTTGAGTAAATCCTCACTGCAATTTGAATCTGATCTGAAACGATGGCTAGCTGCTCTTTAGGGTGCACTTTGAATTTAAATTTATTGTGCAGGATTATAGGAGAATACTGTGTGAATATTGTGTGAATATAAAATAATCCACATCTCCAAATAGAGATACATTTAATCAATGCATCTCCATGGGGAACATTAGCATCTCCATGCAGAGCGTGGGGACACAGAACACCAGTGCTGCACACTGTGCAGCAATGGAATAGGAACCACACCTAGTGGCCGCCTGAGTAACTGCCACTAGGAGTGTTACTAGGCACCAATGTAAACACTGCCTTGTCTCTGAACAGGCTGTGTTTACAATAAAAAGCCGGCAAGGACAGGCTATAAACACCAGAACAACTACACTAAGCTGTAGTTGTTCTGGTGACTATAGCATTCCTTTAAGTACAGAATTACACTTGGTTTCACGGTTTTCTTTTTTTGTTGCTCTGTCTTGTATTTAATAAAATAAAGGTTTTTTTTGGGTGGGTGGGGGGGGGGTGTTAATTTGAGACTCTTGGTATGTGGGTTTCTGTTTAGGCACATCAATTTAAAGACAATTTTAGTATATATGTAACTATATAGTATCCTCAATGTACTGATATTAATTATTCATTATTCCTCTTTCTCTTTAGTCCTCACAGGCTAAAAAGAAGACATTCGGTGACAAGTGGTAAAATTGGCCTGCAGTTCTAACAAGCTGGAAGAGTTGGTTGAAGTATCTTCATACAGAAATAGGATTACGTTTCAGAATGTATTGTGTGTTCTGACATTCCTGCATTACATAGCTTTCACAGACACCAAAGTGAAGTGTTATTGTTTTCCTTTTTTTAAATGTAAAACTGAGGCAGAATGTGATAACCTATTCCTCTGCTCCATGCTAAACTAGAAGTATTACAATTGAAAAAAATGTATATATCTATTGTATCAGAACCGGTCAGTACTACTGGGACTTTGACATTTAAGTTTAAAATTTAAACTTTCATCTGGATCTATATATGTATATAGTAATATATATTATTAATTTATACATTTTAAAGCAAAGGTCGCAAAATAATCTCCAGTTCTTTGACATTCGCACCTCAGGCAAAATCCCTACAGGCTGTATAAGCATCATAGAGTTTGCAGTTCCACAATATCTCGATCAGAATATTGTATTTATACATACAAAGCAGTAAACTAAGTCAGATGTGAATGCAAACATTTATTATATTTGTGTAAAAAAATAAAAATAAAAAAAAAACTGTTTACATTGGGGAATCCTGTGTGAAAATGTAATACAGATAATAATAGAGCATGTAGTCTGATCATCAACATGTTTGCAATAGTCTGTACAAAGCTTCTAGAAATAACTGTAGTCTTGTATATGTTTTTTTAAAGCAAAATGGTCAATTCTCTGACATTACATACTACTGAAGTCTTTACTGGAATGAACAGTGGAGTTAGGTTAAAAAAAAACCCACAAGTCTGCAGCACATCTGTATTTGGGACAATGTCATTGCTCCATGATACCCCAGATGTGATCATATGTGCACATTTGTCTGTGAATACGGCACTATGGTTATTTAGCTTAATTTGCAGGGTATACTCTGGCTATAATAGGACACAAGGTCTACAATTACCTTTTTTTTTTTTAATTTTTTTTTTTTTAAGTGATATCTCATAACTAACATTCATGCAAAAATCAACAAGATAGTTCTACTTTATTGTTTACATGCTTTATCTCAGGGGTGTTTATATGTGACAATACAGTCGTTATGGTACTCTAGTTAATGACATAAATGTTAATCAGCTGCTTGTAGTCTTTGCATCTTGTACAGTTATATGGCAGGTGTAGACCAGTAAACTGCGTTAACTGTTTCATGTCACTGTTTCTGACATAATTATACCTGTTGTCTGAATAGAATAATGTACATCAAGATAAAAAAGTTGCTATTTTACTAGTTCTTCTATCTGATTCTTCTTTTTCCTACATTTAAACTCTAATATCAACAGACTAGTCCAGTCTCTTCTGGTGGTTTCCATTCATTTGCATGAGCAATTCTTGTGTGTGCATCTCTGTTGTCCCTAACCCTGCCTTTTCTATTTAATTGAATTCAGTATTCCGTACATCTCAGCACCCAAGCCCAATCAGGTGGTAAATTAATATTCATCATTGTACGGTGATATTTCAGAATAGTTTTATAAATGTTAGATGCAGTCGACTATACATATTTCCCCCCCCCTCTTTTTACAGCAATGTTTCTATTATATATTAGCTGTAACTATGATTGAGCACACAATCTCTGGCAATTGCAGTGAGTGCCTGGAATGCCAGGAAGGCACATTTTTGATTAATTTTGTCTTGTGAATGAGCAGTCTCCTAGTTCATTATTTAACAAACACTACAAGCTTTAAAATGAAATCTAAAACCAGAAAGTTTCCTCCGCTGCTCCAATCAGCATATGCCACTTTCTCTAACTTCCCAATTCACATGCCACCCCCTGCATTTTCTTAATTACTATCTCTCTCCTCTGACATGTACTTTATACTTTATATATAAAATATAACCCATCCCCTCTACATTTCCCAAACTCATCATCTGTTGCCATATTTTCCCAATGAGCTTACTCCAGTTCCTTCTCCCCAGCAAATTATTCATGTGTTTAAGCCACTCAAACCATATTTTCTTATTTGCATTTCTCCAGTTCATAATTGTAGGCTCCTGTTCATAGCCGCTCGTCCAATTCTTCTAAATAACTCCACGCAGCCAAATTCATCCAGTTCACCTCTGCCCAGTCACATCCTTCAACAGAATACCCAATCCTAGCCACATCTTTCCCCACTACATCTCTCTAAGAACATGGTTCCCTTTACTCCTTGTACATACCCCCAGTAATAATTTCCTCCCTCCCATATCTATCCTTAGTACATCTCCCGGACCCACATCCCATCTATAAACATTTTTCCATATCTTTTATTATATCTCCACTCATCTCTCAGAGTATATCTTGCCTTATTATTCTAGCATATCTAATACAGACACACACATACTTACCTACAAACTCAAACACACAGCTACATTCATAATGTACTAGCTATTTACCTCTCACCTACCAGTTAGTGGGTAGGGCATGATTGTAACTGTTATTTATATCATATACATTTTTAGTATTGTGCCTATCTTGATGTCTCAATTGCTACCACATTTCAGCCTAACTGTCGCCTTATATCTGTATGTAATATAGATTTACTAAAGTTGCCAGTATGATATGTATGTAAAACAAAACAAATATCTAAACCTCATTATGTGCCCAAATTCTAGTTAAAATTATTAATGGAATTATAGAAGGTTCAAGTTAATTTCAATACCCAGAAGGGCTAAAGCCCAAAAAATTTTTTCTAGAAACCTATGTCTAGCTCAACTCAAGAAATCAAAAATACAAAACATTTGTTGCAATCATATTATTACTCTTCATTCCCACTGACAAGACTTAAACAGTAACATCATTATCATAGAACGTGTACATCAGTGAGTACCTGAAGTATGTCAAAATCATGGACTTTCGGTAAATCATTATTGGGAAAAAAATAGATTTGAAACCGGTACAACAAGTATTCTGGATTAATTTTTTTATTTATTTTTTTGTGATTTACTCCAATCTAATAATTGTGAATTTTTTTGTATTTATTAATTCCCTTTTGAAATGATTGTAACTGTATGTAGATATTTTTTTATTCTTTATTTTATCGTGCACATAACATACAGAGAAGGAAGCAATGCCACAACAGCTCTTGCTCATGTGACGGTCAACGCTTTACATTTGTCTGGAATATCAAAACTTTGCACATTTTATAATATATTATAGATTCAACATGAGTTAAACTAACATGTCAGGTTAAGGGAGACTAGGAATAATCTCAGGTTGAGCATATGGACATTGAAGAGGATTAAGAGAATACAATTTTAACTGCAACGTTTAACATTTATAAGGTGTAAAGGTTATTAAGATATAGCGTGCTTAATAACTATTAGCTTGCACTGTGCTGGTGCCCCTCCACCATCGACTGTTATGATCTCAACAAAGGTGTGAGCCTAAAATTGCATAGAGTTCAGCTGGGTTGAGCTTTTTGGTAAAACTAAGGGTTAACTTTGTGTGAGATGGAAATGGTTAATAATCATACGGTAGCTTAAATCCCGAGTAGGAGGTGATGGCGATATGACATTACAGGATGTTCCTTTGTCTTGGGCCTCACGTCCCAAAGAGTCCCCTTAACCTATGCCTTCAAGAGTCTCTTCCCATCGCTGTATCCCACAGAGGGACTCACCTATCCCCGCTTTCAGGCCCGAGTGCCTCAGAGATGTACTTGTCTGCTTGCATAGGTGGAGGTCTTTTGCACACCTCTCATCGATGTGCGCCGGTTCTGGATGGGTCCGTCTCAGGTTGGGGCGCATGTTCTTCCAGGCTCTGGTGTCAAGTTGCTCCGTGGGTGCATGCTTGGGTGATGCTGGCAGTGTCTTGTGTAGGGTGGTCTTTGCTAAGTGGGTTTCTCAGCCGGTGGAAGACCCCGGTTTCTTCTGTGCCATTGCTTGGCCGGGTGAACCACTTGAACGGTAGCGGTAAGATGGCACCCTTGGTGAGTCCACGACCGGAGCATGTGTCGTTCGTCGAGTTTCTTCCAGAATGTCTAAAATGCAGCGTCTAGCCACGCCAGGATTTCAGGCTCCTGTGTTGTGTCAGATAGCCCGGGTTTGCTCTCTGCTATTTTTGAGGCAGCTCGCCTCTGCTGGAGTTGCTGCCACAGCCTCTGGAGGGGCCTTCCTGGGATCGGCATAACCCCCACCGGTCCATGGGGGGGGGGACGAGAGCTCACAATCAAACGTTCAGCCGTTGAAGGTGACAGGGGAGCAGCCTTGAGGAGTGTTTCAGTGTTTCTTGCCGGTTGTGCCACATATTTGGTGTCTTCAGGTAGCCCCCGGTTTCGCCTTGCCGTTAGGTGCTCGTGTGAGGCGATTGGGTCGCTTTGTAGGCTCATAACCCGGGAGATATGCCCGCAGGAGCAACTCTTTCCTGCATCCTCTCGGCTCAGCGGTCAGGCCCCACACCCCCAAATTAATTGCTTTTATGGCTTTGTGGTAGTTTTCATTGTAAAAGTCTAGTTTTGCAGACGTCATTCTACAATTTTTCTGAAGCTGCTAATACATAGTGTTTCAGGCAGTGTTTTCCAAATTCCTATGGTAACATTATCAGAAATCAAGATTCTCAAGGGAATGTTTCTCCTTTCTTATTCCTCCAATTTTGGACGATTTTTTGAGTACAGTGGCCTCCTTTCACTTATCCTAGTTGTTTTAATATATTTAGACACAGCAGTGTCACATGTTCATCCTCACCTTGCGACATTGATAGTGGTCGCCTTGCCAATAAACGCAGTAGTGCCGTTTAGCAGCCATGTGTCAATGTGTCTGACCCCTGCAGCATGTTGATGGACGCCGGCCGCTGTGGATCCACACTAATTTATAACCCCACAGCATGGGAGACGTTGACGTGCGTGTGACGTTACATAAAGGACACTCGCGCACGTTCTGGGGTCAAAGGCTAGTTTTGGCCAATCGGATCCACAACAGGGATATTTAGGCTTGCATATTCCTTCTGCTCATTGGTTTCCCTAGTGGTTGTCCGAGAGTGTATTCCTGAGCGTTTGTTATTCTGGTTATTGACTTTGGCTTCGTTTGACTTCCCTGCATTCTGGTATCCCTGACTTTTGGCATTCTCTCATCGTTGTTTCTCCTTCTGTATCCCTGACCTCGGCAAGTATTCTGACTATTCTCTGGTACGTTAAGTCCGGCCATTCTAAGGCCCGGTAAGACGTTACGTTTTATTCCTAGGTGTGATACAGTTCTATGTGCTGGATCAACTAGTAATCCTGACAAGCAGTATAGTTCAGTGTTTTTCTAATTGTGTTAACAGACCGATTTGCTTGTTCACATTAACAGGCTGAAGGAAAGAATATAAGGATTCTTTTTTTTTGGTACCTTTTTGAGATGTGTAAAATTAATTAAAATCCAGTTAAAGAGATATTTGCCCAGACTGCCAGTTTCATTCCAGGGTATATGATGTTACAAAGGAAGAGAAGAAAAGATAAGGGAAATTAATAGCTTTACAAGAGTACTGCATCATGCATAAACTGCAGTATTCAAACCTTTTTATGCAGATTGTAAATTTCCGCCGTGTGGGACGAGCATGGATGGGGAGCCAACCTGGTCCTCTATCGCCGACACATTGATGATCTAATTTTTATTTGAAAAGGCCCTGAGTCCATTTTAAATTTAAAAAAAAAAATCTTAATAGATTAATTAAATTAAAGGACCACTATAGTGCCAGGAAAACAAACTCGTTTTTCCTGTCACTAAAGGGTCTTTAGCCCCCCCACCCTCAGGATCCCACTCCCGCTGGGCTAAAGGGTTAAAATCCCTTCAGCCACTTATCTTTCTCCAGCGCTGGGCTCCCTCAGTGCTGGGGAACTCTCCTCCCTCTGCCGACGTCAGCGCTGAATGGGCATGCGTGGCAAGAGGCGCCGCGCATTCAAACCGCCAATAGGAAAGTATTTCTCAATGCTTTTGGACATCCAGCATCTTCTCCCTGTGATTTACACAGTTAGAAGCGCGGAAGCGCCTATAGCAGCTGTCAGTGAGACAGCCACTAGAGGCTGCATTAACCCTCAGTGAAACATAGCAGTTTCTCTGAAACTGCTATGGTTTCAGCTGCAGGGTTAACACTAGAGGGACCTGGCACCCAGACCACTTCATTGAGCTGAAGTGGTCTGGGTGCCTATAGTGGTCCTTTAAGTAACAATTACAATAAGACCTATATTAATTTTATAGACTTGGATATCTATGTAGAGGATGATATTTTTTTGTTTGTTTTTAAAGAAAGCTTACTTTTTTCAAAATAGTCTATACTAATACCTTCATTGACCCTACAAGTTGTCATTATGGACCCTGGCTTGGCAGAACCCTGGCTTACCCAGAAGCCAATTATTATGGATAAACAGAAACTGTACTGATCCTACTGTCTTTAACAGTCAAGCAAATGTTCTAAAAGATAGACAAGTAGAAAACATTTTAATGCGATCTCGACAGAAAGGTCCTTTTAACCCCTTAAGGACTGGACTGTTTTTGCGATGTTGTACATTTGCGACCAGGAATATTTTTACACTTTTGTGGTGTTTGTGTTTGGCTGTAATTTTCCGCTTTCTCATTTACTGTTCCCATACAAATTATATATTGTTTTTTTCAGGACAAAAGGGGCTTTCTTTACATACCATTATTTATATAATCTCATGTATTTTAATTTAAAAAAAATACAAAAATCTGATGAAAAATTGAAAAAATACATGTTTTTTGACTTTTACTTGAAAAATCTTTTACTCATCTACAAAAGCGAATGAAAAAAACTGCTAAATAGATTCAAAATTTTGTCCTGAGTTTAAAAATACCTAGTGTTTACGTGCTTTTTTGCTTTTTTTTGCATGTTATAGGGCTATAGGTACAAGTAGGATATTGCGGTTTAAAAACATACATTTTTAAAATTTATCAATAGTGACATTGTAACACTATTATCTGTCATAAATCTCTGAATAACACCCCACATGTACATATTTTTTTTAAAGTAGACAACCCAGGGTATTCAATATGGGGTATGTCCAGTCTTTTTTAGTAGCCACTTAGTCGAAAACACTGGCCAAAGTAAGCATTCATATTTGTTTGTGTGTGAAAAAAGTAAAAAAACTAAATTGAACGCTAATTTTGGCCAGTGTTTGTGACCAAGTGGTTACTAAAAAAGACTGGACATACCCCATTTGCAATACCTTGGGTTGTCTTCTTTTGCAAATGGTATGCCATCATGGGGGTAATTCTCATTCCTGGGCTACCATACGCTCTCAAAGGCAACGTAACCAACCTGGCCATTTTCAATGTAAAAATATTTCACCCATATATTTGACCTTGTAACTTTCAAAAATGCTATAAAACCTGTACATGGGGGGTACTGTTTTACTCGGGAGACATCGCTGAACACAAATATTAGTGTTTAAAAACTGGAAAACGTATCACAACAATTATATCATCAGTAAAAGTGCTGTTTGTGTGTGAAAAATGCAAAAAAAGTAACTTTCACTGACAATATCATGTGATATGTTTTACTGTTTTGAATCACTAATATTTGTGTTCAGCGAAGTCTCCCGAGTAAAACAGTACCCCCCATGTACAGGTTTTAGGGTGTCGTAGAACGTTACAGGGTAAAATACAGTGCTAACAAATTAAATTCTCTGGAATTTCGGCCTGGGTTGGCAGGCAGGTCCCTCAAATTGCAATCAATAAAATTACTGAATTATGTAAAAATATTACATAAATACGCACGTAGAATTTAAATATATATGCATATTTATATATTTGAAGTCTACGTGTATATTTATATAATTATTTATGTAATTTTGTATATGGACGTATGTATATTTCTTATTATTTTTATTTATTTTTATATACATAGATATATATACAAATTCATTCTAAGTGTATTTTGATATAAATATATATATATTAATTTTAAAATACAGTTAGAATAAAATTTCATATAGCTATATAATTTTTTTTAAATTTTTTATTATTTAAAAATTTTTTTTTAATTTAAATTACTTATTATTTATATTTTATAATAATATAATATATATATATAGTTATTATATATATTATATATATATACGTGTGTAATTTAATTATAAGTGTATTTTATATTAATATAAGTACATATTAATATAAAAATACACTTAGTATGACATTATATATATGATATATAGACATATATTATATAGATATAATATATGTCTATATATCATATATACACATATATAATTATTTTTTAATTAACACTAACTTTATTTTTTTTGATTTTACACTAGCAGGGAGACTGCCTGTCAGCACAGACAGTCCCCCTGCAGGCAGACACATGGACACCTATTGTGACCATGTGATCGCTGTGTTAAGCGATCACATGGCCACAGGGGTCCTAATCTGCCGTGGGGAGACTGTCTGGGCTGCAGGCAGTCTCCCCACAACCGGAGGAACACTGATCGCCGCCGGGGGAACGACGGCGATCAGGTAAGTACCCCCAGACCGTTAGGACGGTTCAGGACCGTCATCGGTCCTCAAGGCAAAAATGCCGATGACGGTCCTGAACCGTCCTCGGTCCTTAAGGGGTTAAATTATAACACAAAACTTGTAAACAAAAAATGTAAACAAATATTGGGATATTCTTAAGGACTGAGCCAAATGTACATGTTGTGATCAAAACAAAACAAAACCTGGAATTTGCGCTATATGTCTGTTCGGGCGTAGTTCGCCTCTTTCATATTAAGTGCACCCACACTTATTATATATCATTTTGTTCAGGGGAAACTGGGCTTTCATTTAACATCAAATATTCAGGCATGAAACATAATTTAATATGAATAAAATATAAATAAATGGGAGAAAATAATTTTTAAATTATTTTAGTTCTATGTGACATTTTAACTGTGAATGTCATAATACTGTTTGCTTTTGCTGCAATAAAATACACATATTTGTATTCAGAGATGTCTCATGTGTAAAACAGCACCCCCTATGTACAGGTTTTATGGGGTTTTGAGAAGCTACAGGGTCAAAAAAGCACGTTAAATTTTTCAGTTTTTTTCACATTGAAATTCGCCAGATTAGTTACTTTGCCTTTGAAACCAAATGGTAGCCCAGGAATGAGTGGACATACCCCATTTGCAATACCTTGGGTTAACAACTATTGCAAATGGTATGCCATCATGGGGGTAATTTTTAAAAGCCAAACAAAGGTCACCAGATGACGGGGGCTGCCAGGGTGGACACAACGATACCCAACAAGCGACTACCTACCCGGTACGTGCCTGACACACTGGCGCCCCCTACCAGAAGAGCAGGTACAGGAGAGACGGCCGCTCCCCCGCAGCTTAGAATGCCTGGAAACTTAACACAGAGCCTGCGTTCCCCCCCCCTGGACCGGTGGGGGTCATCCCTGTCCCACCCACACAAGCAAGTGTACAAGCACTCACCAAAACACACGCGAAGCACAGAGGCCACACGTGGAGCAGGCAATATGGTGCCCAACCCACAGACCTCAGCTCTGCACATAATCGAGAGGGAAACTAAACGCTGATACGACCGCATCTTTGGTGCCCTCTGGGAGAAGCTGGTGGCCCTGATGCAGTCCCCCCAAAAGGGACCCCCACCTGGCGATATGAGGCAGGGTCCAAAGCATGGAGGCACAAGGGGAGATAAGGCGAACCCCAGGAACCCCATCCGCAAGAAGGGTAACCCAGTAACCTGGATTCGCACAAAGGCCAATCACAGCCCGCACAAAACGACTGAAACACAAGAGACACTCAAGGCACAGCTCCAAAGGCGGCCTTACAGATGTACAGAGACCCGACCTAAACTCCGGAAGGGCCCAGACTGGACAAGAAGACAGTAGAAGGAAAAGCACAAAATGGCTGCCATGAAACTTCCATATCGTGAAGGCAATGGCAGGCGACCGCACCAAAAAATACCCAGCACAGCCAAGACCCTACGCTGCCTGCCAGGTGAACCTGCTCTCTACAGGGGCGCCCTTACTCACCACACGACCGGAATACAGAACATGGGGCACGTGATCAGAGCAGACCACGATCCGACAGGGTTGCTGCCCGGCGAACTACACTGGCACAGAGCCCATCCACAACCAACGAGGGAGGTGACCCCGCAACGCTTTGGGCCCACCCGCCAATCCTTCAGAGCTGATGTCGGCTGATCAAGGCGGACTGACCCAGAGACAATCTGCGTCCCTGCAGGCCCTACAGCAGAGACACTGCAAGATCCCACCGCACAGTATGTCTCACAGTATGGCCCTGGCAAATCGCAGCAGAGACTGTTAGTTCCATATAGCAGCAGTGGAGCAAGCAATACAGTATATTAACCACAGGCAATTAGCTCATTAATCATAGATCATATAGCAGTTACTTATCCATTGCAAATGTGTTCTCATGCATGTCAGTATTACCTTTTAAAAATGCGCAGACTCCACTAACTGCTTTCAAATGTTACGTCTATTAACCCACTCGAGACCTTCAAAGCGTCTTACTCTTGTTTTTATGCAGGGCATCTTTATGCTTAGAGAGAATAGAAACATGACTACACAACGTAGGCTAACTCTAGCAATGTTAACCCCTTAGCGACCGAGGACGGTTCAGGACCGTCATCGGCATTTTTGCCTTGAGGACCGATGACGGTCCTGAACCGTCCTAACGGTCTGGGGGTACTTACCTGATTGCCGTCGTTCCCCCGGCGGCGATCAGCGTGGCTCCGGTTGTGGGGAGACTGCCTGCAGCCCAGACAGTCTCCCCACACTGATTTAGGACCCCTGTGGCCATGTGATCGCTCAACACAGTGATCACATGGTCACAATAGGTGTCCATGTGTCTGCCTGCAGGGGGACTGTCTGTGCTGACAGGCAGTCTCCCTGCATGTGTAAAATCAAAAAAAATAAATAAAGTTAGTGTTAATAAAAAAATTTAAAAAAATTATATATGTGTATAAATATGGTATATAGACATATATTATATCTATATAATATATGTCTATCTATCATATATATAATGTCATACTAAGTGTATTTTTATATTAATATGTACTTATATTAATATAAAAATACACTTATAATTAAATTACGCACGTATATATATAATATATATAATAACTATATATATTGTATATATATATTATTATAAAATATAAATAATAAGTAATTTAAATTAAATAAAAATTTTTAAAATAATAATAAAAAATTAAAAAAAAATTATATATCTATATGAAATTTTATTCTAACTGTATTTTAAAATTAATATATATATATTTATATCAAAATACACTTAGAATGAATTTGTATATATATCTATGTATATAAAAATAAATAAAAATAATAAGAAATATACATATGTCCATATACAAAATTACATAAATAATTATATAAATATACACGTAGACTTCAAATATATAAATATGCATATATATTTAAATTCTACGTGCGTATTTATGTAATATTTTTACATAATTCAGTAATTTTATTGATTGCAATTTGAGGGACCTGCCTGCCAACCCAGGCCGAAATTCCAGAGAATTGAATTTGCTAGCACTGTATTTTACCCTGTAACGTTCTACGACACCCTAAAACCTGTACATGGGGGGTACTGTTTTACTCGGGAGACTTCGCTGAACACAAATATTAGTGATTCAAAACAGTAAAACATATCACAGCGATGATATTGTCAGTGAAAGTGACTTTTTTTGCATTTTTCACACACAAACAGCACTTTTACTGATGATATAATTGTTGTGATACGTTTTCCAGTTTTTAAACACTAATATTTGTGTTCAGCGATGTCTCCCGAGTAAAACAGTACCCCCCATGTACAGGTTTTATAGCATTTTTGAACGTTACAAGGTCAAATATATGGGTCAAATATTTTTACATTGAAAATGGCCAGGTTGGTTACGTTGCCTTTGAGAGCGTATGGTAGCCCAGGAATGAGAATTACCCCCATGATGGCATACCATTTGCAAAAGAAGACAACCCAAGGTATTGCAAATGGGGTATGTCCAGTCTTTTTTAGTAACCACTTGGTCACAAACACTGGCCAAAATTAGCGTTCAATTTAGTTTTTTTACTTTTTTCACACACAAACAAATATGAATGCTTACTTTGGCCAGTGTTTTCGACTAAGTGGCTACTAAAAAAGACTGGACATACCCCATATTGAATACCCTGGGTTGTCTACTTTAAAAAAAATATGTACATGTCGGGTGTTATTCAGAGATTTATGACAGATAATAGTGTTACAATGTCACTATTGATAAATTTAAAAAATTTATGTTTTGAAACCGCAATATTCTACTTGTACCTATAGCCCTATAACATGCAAAAAAAAGCAAAAAAGCATGTAAACACGGGGTATTTTTAAACTCAGGACAAAATTTTGAATCTATTTAGCAGTTTTTTTAATTCGCTTTTGTAGATGAGTAAAAGATTTTTCAAGTAAAAGTCAAAAAACATGTATTTTTTTCAATTTTTCATTATATTTTTTTATTTTTTTTAAATTAAAATACATGAGATTATATAAATAATGGTATGTAAAGAAAGCCCCTTTTGTCCTGAAAAACAATATATAATTTGTATGGGAACAGTAAATGAGAGAGCGGAAAATTCCAGCCAAACACAAACACCACAAAAGTGTAAAAATATGCCTGGTCGCAAATGTACAACATCGCAAAAACAGTCCAGTCCTTAAGGGGTTAACTTCTGTTTGGCGTTTCCTTGCTTAAATATACATAGTTTAACTTTTAAACGTATTATTTCATTTAGTAGCTGCTAAACTGCAAACCGTGCTTATACAGTATGACTACGATAGCATAGCAGAACTAGCATTAATAACTAATCGTCAGTTTATATCATTGTATGTTAGCTAATCTTACTTCATCAATCTGTCTAATTAAGCATGCTTAAAAAAACATAAAATTGTACGAATTCTCATGCCACTGTCAAAATGTTCTGTATCTTGCAATATGCTGTTGTGGCGACCGTTAATATAATGTACCTACCTGCACAACAAAAATAAAGAATAATAAAAAAAAAAATAGTAAAGCGTATCACAACAATTATATCGTCAGTGTAAGTGCCATTTGTGTGTGAAAAATGCAAAACATTTCACTTTCACTGATGAGATCATCGTTGTAATACATTTTACTGTTTTGAAACCCTAATATTTGTGTTCAGTGAAGTCTTCCTAGTAAAATAGTACCCACCATGTACAGGTTTTATGGTGTCTTAGAAAGTTACAGGGTTAAATGTAGTACTAGCAAATTAAATTCCCTGGACTTTCGGCCTGGGTTGTCAGGCAGGTCCCGCAAATTGTAATTAATAAAATGACCTAACTATGTAAAATTATTACAGAAATATATACGTAGAATTATTGACCTGTGTGTGTGTGTGTGTGTGTGTGTATGTATGGATGTATGTGTGTGTGTGTATATATATATACACCCTGTTCCAAATTATTATGCAAATGATATTTTTCTAATTTACCTAAATAATTGATGTAAATAACAGTCAGCATCATTCTCATGTTATCAACTATTAAGAGTACAATTCAAATTTTATTGAACAAACCTCCTAATGATAACAGTATTTTTTTTAAACATAAAAAACTTACAATGCACTGTTCCAAATTATTACGCACAGTAAGTTTCAAAAAACTTTATAGGTTGTAAAGAACTGAAAATTGTCATTTGTTGTGTTTGACGCATATTTACTGAAATCAAAAGCTATTTCAATCAAACTTATAACAACATTTTAAGTTTTTAAACATTTTAACAGGTCACGTTACATTTTAACATAGGACCCCTTATTTGATAGCAGCTTCACAAATCTTGCATCCATTGAACTTGTGAGTTTGTGGACAGTTTCTGCTTTAATTTGTTTGCAAGATGTCAGAATAGCCTCCCAGAGCTGCTGTTTGGATGTAAACTGCCTCCCACCCTCATAGATCTTTTGCTTGAGGATGCTCCAAAGGTTCTCAATAGGATTGAGGTCAGGGGAGGATGGAGGCCACACCATGACTTTCTCTCCTTTTATCCCCATAGCAGCCATTGATGCAGAGGTATTCTTTGCAGCATGAGATGGTGCATTGTCATGCATGAAGATGATTTTATTACGGAAAGCATAGTTCTTCCTTCTGTACCAGTCAGAAACTCCACATACTTTGCAGAGGTCATCTTTACACCTTCGGGGACCCTAAAAGGGCCGACCAGCTCTCTTCCCATGATTATGGCCCAAAACATGACTCCACCACCGCCTTGCTGATGTTGCAGCCTTGTTGGAACAGGTTGGCCACCACCAACCATCCACTACTCCATCCATCTGGACCATCCAGGGTTGCATGGCACTCATCAGTGAACAGGACTGTTTGAAAATTAGTCTTCATGTATTTTTTTACCGTTTCTGCTTGTGAACATTGGTTAGTGGTGGCCTCATAGAAGGTTTATGCACAGTTGCAAGACTTTGGAGGACTCTACACCTTGATGTCTGTGGGACTCCAGAGGTTAGTGGTGGCCTCATAGAAGGTTTATGCACAGTTGCAAGACTTTGGAGGACTCTACACCTTGATGTCCGTGGGACTCCAGAGGCACCAGCAGCTTCAAATATCTGTTTGCTGCTATGTTAGGGTATTTTAGCAGCTGCTCTCTTGATCCGATGCATAGATCTGGCAGAAATCTTCCTCAATGTGCCTTTTTCTGCACGAACCCGTCTGTGCTCTGAATCAGCCACAAATCTCTTAATAGTGCGATGATCCCGCTTAAATTTTCGTGAAATATCTAATGTTTTCATACCTCGTCCAAGGCATTGAACTATTACACTCTTTTCGGCAGCAGAGAGATCCTTATTCTTCCCCATATTGCATGAAAATAGTGCTCTGCTTAATAATGTGGAACACCCTCCTTTAGTAGTTTTTCCTTAAATTGGGCTCACCTGGCAATCTAATTAGGTGTCCGAGATTATTTTCAGTGATCAAAAGAACCCTGAGACACAATGCCATCCATGAGTTAAACTGAAAAACAAAATATTTAATGTTTGTGACACTTAAATAGAACTTGCATAATAATTTGGAACAGGGTGTAGTTGATACAGACCAGAATTTGCCATGTAATCAACCCATCTGTATGTATATATGGTCTTTTGATGCTCAATAAAATACAAATTGAAAAAAATAAACAACAACCTGAACCGGAAGAAAAACTACACCACAAATAAAATGAGAGTGCTCTACTCAGTCTGGCCTTTTAAGATGGGAAAGAACTTTACAAAGGCCTCCCCATGCGTTGAAATCTAAGTCAGAACACTTTGATTGGTTGGCTTGTAAACCAACCAATCAAAGCACTTTGACAGGCAAGATTCGTCTCTCATGAGCCTGTGGAATATCGATGTGGAATTCTGTCACAGGTCCCATACCACAGCACGTGGCGGGCATCTGTTGGGGGCTTAAAATTCAATAATGGGGTGTGGACATTGACTTGATCTGCTGCAACACATGACCAGCTAGCGGGGGCTCTATAAAAATAACATATCCATTTTATAACAGGAGCTGGGGGAAGCAGGAGGGGAAACTCCACCTATGAGTGGCACTTGGGGGTTCCAACATTTAACCCACACTTTTGGAATAAAAGGGATTCATCACATGTCACGTGTCCTTAAGGGGTTAAACAAGAGAGACACTAAAAGCTTTGACCCCCTCTGCCCTGTTGTTTGTTTTTTGGCCTTTTTGGGGGTTGAAGAAAAGAAGATTTAAGAAGAAAGAAGTTAAGGATGAAATTTAAATTTACACGTATAAAATTAATTGTGCTCTCTAACCATTATTAGGGTTAGGGGGTAGGTAGAGATATTTATTTATTTATTTGGGTGGGTGGGTGGCTAGGGGCTTGGGGAAGGAAGAGAATTTGGTTAAAATAATTAGCATTTTGTCATTAATACACCATACCCATAACTTCATGGCTGGGGTGCTGGGGAGGTAGACAATAACATGTCAACTCCCCTTTTGTTTTAATACAGAGTACCTTAAGCCAATGGGTAGAGTGGGTGGGTGGGACATTGTCCTATCGACTACCCTTCTTTATTTTTAGACAGTCCCCAACCCCACACCCATGGGTGGGGTTAAGGAGAAGTGGGTTGTTCTACATGGTTATTAAATAATAGCCCACACACTTATGGGTTGGACAGGGGTAACTTTAGCCATGTTTCTTTGTGTACAGACCCCCACCTGCTGCCTACATCCTGCACATTTTTCCATATTATACTCTGATTAAGGTTCATATACGAAAATCACTGACTTTAAACCAGATTGATGTAAATGCAGATGTTTGACTGGATTCCAACCACAACTGGCTTTAGTATGTATAGTTTTGTAAAAAATAAAGCTGAGTCAAAGCCAGAATACACAAACTACAATCTAGAATACATTCTAGGCTGACAGAGACCATAATATAGCAAAGAGGAGTGAATTGTGTGGCCTTAAATTAAGCCAGAACTTTTACAATTGTCTGTGTCAATAATGATGCCAAAATGTATGTGACCAGCGTCTTTGGATCGGCCTGGCTTCAAAAACTTTTGTGAGCACCTAAGCGTAAAAGAAAGAGGCAATGTGGAATGGTCTGTGTCAAAATGACACAAGAATCACGTACAGCATCAATACCGGTACGGCAGCATCCATAGGACACAGGAGTCATGACATTTACCAAGGAAAGCTGGTGAAAACTCCATGAGTGAGTTGTTAAGCTGAGAAGCGAAGTCTGCCTGCAACAGGAATATATAGGCTATGGTTGAACATCAAAAGTTTAACAAATTATAAAGGTGTTACAGTTAAACTATTTTGCATATTGCTGCAAATGGACATGCCTGTTAAAGCAACAAACCAAAAAGAGAGAGGCAAACTACTTGGGATTGGTTTGTATCTTCTATTAGTCTTAAAGGGTCAATGTTGTAAAAATAATAAATGGCAAAGCGTCACGAGTTATAGGGTCTCTAAGGGCCTTTATTCCACTTAACATGTCCAACAACAATATTATAATTATAAATGAAAGTAAGAATTTGTAAAATTGTAAAATGTTTAGATATATTACAAGAAATCTGTAATTTCAGTAAGTGAATACATCACTTCACAGTTGTCATAGTTTTGCGTCAGTGTAACAATAAAGTTCCTTCTCTAACCTGATTATATTCCTTCAGTCCATTTTTTTAAAATTTAGTGGACAATCTGTGTCAGGATATATGTATCACTAGCAATTTATCATGGATTACTCTCCCTTAGATGCACACCCCGTAATATATAATTTCCCAGTGGAGATGTTATCTTTTAGTACTCCTTTAAGTAGTTTTGTACGGCATGACTAGCTCAGTATTTGCAATTAATTTTCACTGTCCATACTGTAGCTTGCACTAAGTCTATTGGTTATTAATTTTTATACATATTTTTTACCTTTTTTATAAATGTAAAATTCTGGTACAAATCTCTACACTGCTCCTACCTACATGTCCTCCCTAATACACTTGTATGTCCTGTCCAGGTCCCTACACTCTGCCAAAGACCTGCATCTATTCTCTGTTCATGCTCAATCCTCTGACGCCTACCTTAAAGACTTCACTAGGGCTGTACTTTTTCTATGAAACTATCTTCCCTGCTCCATTGGGATTTCCTCCAGTCTCCATTCTTTCAAAATATTTTACACCCTAGTAAAGACCAGCTACATGATACCCCTCCGAAATAAGCAAACCAAGAATTGCCAACTTCCCCAGCTCTGTTGTGTGTCTCTTTCCCCCTTCCCCTCTGTGTGTGCCATTGTCTCCTTCTCCGGACCCTCTGTATGTGTCACTGTCCCCTTCACCAGCTTCTCTGTGTGCCATTGTCCCCTTTTCTAGCTACTCTGTGTTTCACTGTTCCTTTCTCTAGCCCCTCTGAGTTTCTCTTTGTC